CTATAATTGGGATTATTTATAGTTTACGCAGTTACGCATAGTTTGCATTTAAAATTGACCTCCTGCTATACCAGATTGTAACTAGTTATGGACTATTTTTGGAAAATGGTCCCTATAATTGGGATCACCCAGAAATAATCTATAGTTGAGATTATTAATGGCGGACCAACAATAGATGTGATTTTTATTTTCAATTTTTTCATAAATAATCTATAGAATATTAAAAAATGATAAAAATAATAATCCCACACATGACCTCTGCAAGTACCCCTTGCCCAATCTTTTTGAGATGAAGAAATTAAGGAAATTAGATTTAGAAGAAAAGAAATTGCCCTAAATAAGAGTATTTAACTTTGAGAATTCCAAAATAAGATTAATATGTTTTTCTTTCTAAAATAAGAGTCGTTAATATCATGATTGAAAAATGATGCAATAGTTGAAAAATAATGTCATTAATTATAATAAATACTGCCATGTTGAATGCATAGTAGTGCAATTATTTGGCAGTCATGAGTAAAAGATGACAGTAAATACTGTCATCTTACTCTTGACCTATTTCGGGAAGAAAAACATAAGAGTCCTATTTTAGAATTTCAAACCTTATTTAGTCCTATTTTGGGAAATCTCCCTAGAATAATGATCAAACGGATTTAGTGGGTATAAACAAAGAAAATGCACAAGACCTCTGCTGATTTGCAAGTACTTGGTCCTAAGCCCCACTCGCTATCTAAGTTTGTGATTAAAGTCCAGTTAACATCCTCCCAAAGGGAAGACTTTGGGCGGTACTAGCCGACTATGAAAGGAAGTTTTTTGAGTATCTTTCTGGAGGCGATTGAGGAAATCGTTGACCAGCTGACAAGTGTTGAAAGCTCTAAGGGATGGGATGCTATATTTACTTAGGGGGTGTTTGGATCTGATTCTTAAAACTGCTTCTACTCTTTCAATTCAGGAAACAGAAGCAGAAGTTAGAGTGTTTGAGTGAAAGTGCAAGAGTACTTATTGTGCTCTAATTTACTCCTAGAATAAGTATTTTTAGAAGTTGGGAGAGACTAATTTCTGAAAACTGATTCTGATTCTGCTTTTACTTCAATAATGAAATAGAAACATAATCAATTCCAAACACCCCTTGGGTCTTACTTTTACCGTCTTTACTCCCAATGTTATAAATTTATTGCAATCCTTTAAATGAATTGTTAATCACATTTTACACATCAAAGGTGATACTTAGAGATAGAAGTAAATTTAAAAATTTGAGCTATCCCAATATAATATTCTTTAATTTTCTAGATGTTACATACATAGTACTAAAAAAGAATTTACAAAAAAATAAGGGTGAGGTTCAAATAAGAAGAAACTTTTATGTGAGAAACGAGAATAAATCTTAGTCATTGAATTCGACTATGTTGCAGTAAATCAGTTTATGTTGCACCGCAATATGCAAATATGTGCGGTGCACTTTTGTAAAAACATTTGAAAAACAAATAATTATCATAGAATCTGCGGACCAGGATAAATTAAATCACGCTACGATATGTGATTCATCAATACCAATTCTTTAACTACTAGGAAAAAGCCTTACACTGACACTTGTTTTGTGTCACGGAAAGTTTCCGTGACACATAACATTCGTCACAGTAGGTCGGACACGGCGACACTAAAATTAGTGTCATGGACCAAATGTCAGTAAATGGTGACATTTATGTATCATCATATTTTATGACATTTAAGTAACAACAATATTTGTGATGCTATAACATAATAAAAAATAATGATACATCAGTATCATATAGATTAATGACGGCAACACATCATCAATATTTTTGATACTTTGGTATCTTTATTGTTTTACGACACATGCTCATGTCATTAATCTCTCAGCACCTTCAATATAATGTAATACAAACAAATCAACTTCATAACCAATTAAATTAAAATCATAATATAAGACAAACAGTAATATAATAATCTCTTAAGTTAAATTACATTCATCAAAATGCATGATGACCATAAAAGTCATTAATGACCGACTGTTTCATGTTTAAACAAAATGCCACGAACCATATAGTACGTAGTTACTTGCAAATTCAGATGAAAATAAGTTCACACAACTTTGTCATTCAAGTCCAAAATAAAACATCAATCCTTCATAATACATATGCATCATTCCAAATGAGTTCACTTCTTCCTTCTGCAAAATGTTAATTCGATATACAAGGTCCCGACATGCTGCAAATTTCTTGTAACACCCTCATCCAATCCTATAACAACAAATAACATGCTTAAGAACAAGTTTCAGGATTTATTATGCACTCAAATACTCCATAAGAGCTGAAACAATATGAAGACACCATATGAACTAAAATATAAACTCACTGTTCTATCAACGTGGCGGCATATGTAACCCATTCTTCACGGACTTGTAAAATATCCTCTTCAGAATACTCCTTCACTGCACAAAACTGTAATGCAAGAAAACATTAACATCCCAATTAAATTACAACACCATACCACAATAATACTTCAACTCACATTCTTCTTCAACAAACTGACATCATTAATGATGTCTTGAATGTACTTCATAACGAAATATCCACGTACTTTATGATAAACGTACGATAGTGCTCAGTTTCACAACACCCAACATCCTGCGATTGTAGGTGCAACATATGCTCCCTAAGATTTTAGTTAAAATAATCTGATCGTCGACCACCAATCTCGGAAAAGGAAGATATTACGGACTCTAAATTCAACAGAGCTATTTGCCACAAACCCACATTCATTACTTCAGATAATTGTCTTCCGCATGGCAATTTGACCACTCAACTCAAAATCTACAAGTAGCCCCAGAAGAACAAAAGGCGTCACACCATGAGGACTAGATCAGATCATAGTCCAAACAGTTTCTTTTGGCCTAGTTTTTAGTTTATTTTATTCTCTTTCCTTTTGTATTATTATTGTGCATTTCCTTCTTTGTTTTTATTTTCACATTGTACTGATTTTTTCTTATCAATTAAATTTCCCTTTTCTAAAAAAAGGCTTTAAAAAAACATTTCAAAAATCCATGCTATATCTCATTAGTGTAATATGAACCTGATTTAGTGCAATGTCGTCGTCAAATCCTATTGCAATATGAAACAGTGTTAAGGTAACATTTCAAAATTTAAATCTTAGTGCAACATAAAGCTTGTTTTAGTGCAACATTGTAAATCTAACAGTTAAGATTCATTCTTATTTCTCGCATTAGATTTTCTCACCCGAACCAAAATAAAAAATTAATTACAAAAATCTAAAACATGAATATTGATAGGGGTGAGCATAAAAACCGAACTGAACCGAACCGGTACCAAACCGGCTTGTAATGGTACCGAACCAAATACTGGGTATTTAAATGGATCTATAGATTTTTATCCCAAACAGAAATCGAACCGTTTGAAACGGGTACGAACCGAAAAATACCGAATGGAACCGTTTAAAAATCATGCATTTGAAATTTGTATACTTTTTCCATATGAATAAATCTCTTTTACATACTAACAATTTTATAGCCCAAGTATGTATTGAAAGAATGCTAATGTGTGAAAAATCATTAAAAATGACTATTAATTTCTAGTAGTGTAGAATGACCTTTTGTTTTAAATCTTAACTCTCACGGTTTCAATGTGACTATAAATTTAATTAGAACTAATTTTTAAATTAGCCTAAAACAAAGAAGAAGAAAGTTGAATCTTTCTATTATATTCAACAATTTGATGATTTTTTTATATTCTTACATGAATTGAATTTAATAAATTAAAGATGATATTTATCTGACGTGTCATCATTTTACTATATTTTCCTTAGTTGTGTTGCGCTATTTGAGTATTTTTGAATTTAAATACAAAAATGTCAACCTTTTGAATCTTTCCTAATATTTAGTATGCGCTTTCTTGTATTTTTATAAACATTTGTGTGAGTTGGACGGTGTGATAATATCTAATTATTGCAAAACTTGTCCAAAATTGTTAGCATGAATTTGATATTGTATCGTGTCGTTTTGTACCGTTCCGAAATAGCATGATACCGAATGGTTCTATCCTTAGAATCGAACCTTACGAGACTGATAGAAACCTCACAGATACATTACGGGGTTCGCTAATTTACCACACCGTTCCGGACCGTGCCCACCCCTAAAAATTGATGTGAAATGGGAAACATCTTAACCATGCCATACGATAAAATTATGAAATAAGAATTCGTTATACTATCTATATGCAATACTGTGTACTTCAATTCTTTAATAATTGTAATGTTCTGATTTTTACTTTTCCTCTGTAACGCCTTTTTGGTTTATTTTATGATTTTGAGTATGAAAACTTTACTATAATAGAATTTGATTTTTCTAATTTATTAAAGATTTTAATGTTAGATTATTGGACTTATACTACATATAATATTCACAATATATTATTTATTGGGTTAATTGTATGTTATATGCTATCTTATATTTAGCCCAAAAATTAGTGGTCCTATGGATATTAATTTAAGTGGGCTAATAAGTTATCTAATAAGGTATAGGGCCCAATTGTGTAGAAACCCATGGGCTTAACCTAATTAATGATGGGCTGATTAGGGTTAAGTATTCTCTATAAATAGAGGGGTTATGGTCCCTAGTTGAACACGCCATTCCGTCTTTCTGCATCCCATCGCTAGAGAGATAATTCCCGAGGGTGTGTATCAACTAGAAGACGCAAACCCTAGCCTCCGGGGGGTGTATTGTATTGGGATTTCGTGGAAAAATTTTAGAAGTCTATGGATTTTAGAAATCTAGATGTATTCAATTAGGATTTTTAAAAGTCCATAAAAGTACGGGTGTATTCAATTAGGATTTCTAAAAGTCAATAAAAGTACGGGTGTATTCAAAATATTAACAAATCTTGTGGAATTACAAAATAATGGATTTTCGTGGACTTTAGACCTAATCGTATATATAGTCCTTCTCATCGATTGTCTCGTGCTTTCCCAAGAGATTTCACGCAGACTTTCTCCCTGGGTCTTCTCCTCTTGCTCGCCTCACCAAGAACAGAACAACCGTCCCACAAGAAGAAAAACTCCAGGTAATCTGCAACGGTGACTTATCTCTTTATTCCTATGCGTGCTTTACTTGACTCCTCTTAATTAAGAACAATGACTTTTAGGCCCCACCGGCAAGAACGAACTTCTATGTGTTAAGCCGAATTGCTTATCCATATGTGTTAAGCCAAGTTATTTTTGTATGGAGTAGAATTTCTTCTTCCACCATGTTTCAAACTTCTAGGCAAATCTGCAAATAGACTTGTTAATGTTAGGTATTTGCAGATTTTAACAAAAAGAGGTTACGCCGAGTTTAACAAAGCTGCATTGTTAATAGACTTGTTAATGTTAGGTATTTGCAGATTTTAACAAAAAGAGGTTACGCCGAGTTTAACCCCAAACTTCTAGGCAAATCTGCAAAAAGATTTTAACGAAGCTCTAGAAACTTTGACTTGTTGTTTGAACACCGAGTTGCATTGTATCAAATAAAGTATATACTTAGGCTTTCTTGTGCTCGAACTCTAGCTCGGAAACTCAAAAGTACTGTACGCGATTTGTTACAAAGCTTGGGCTCGGAATTTTTACAAGAATTTTTTACATCGGAAGAACAAATTTTTTATTTTACGTTTTCAAACGCTTCTTCAAATTGGAGGCGAGTTTATAAAAGGCGGATTTGGTATAATGAAATTTATGTATTAATCTATTTTTTTTTTATTTTTAACATTTGACAAAAAATTTTTGACAAGGCTAATCTCGAACTTTTTTTTGTAAGGGCTCATATCTAGTTCTAGAGTCGGCCTTTTCTTATCTTATGTAATTCTTTCTAGTTTTTTTTAATTGTATTTTTCCTATGAGTAATAACCCCAAATTAATGTTTCAATATCTTTTTGTCATTGAAATAGATCCCCCTTTTATATTCTGTTTAAGAAAAAAATTAACGAGCAATTTTGAATTAAATTAAAAACGTGTTGTTTGAAAGAGATAGAGGATTCTAGTTAAATTCCTAGGCAAATCTGCAAACTCGGCGTAACCTCTTTGTTAATGTTAGGTATTTGCAGATTCCACCATGTTTCAAACTCTATATTGGTAGGTATTATATTCTTTTTGCTTTAGAAATAAGAGTATATAGAGGTTATGTAATTGTTAATGTTAGGCAATTTTATTCATCCAGTATTTGTTAAAGCATAACACTTTATCCAACTAATACGTTCGTTTTCAATGAAGAGTAATTGGAGTTGCCTCTTCTTTACACAATAGCAGCCATAAGTAGGAGTTTTTTTTCTTTCGTTTTTGGTCAATTAGACGCAGAGCAGGTTTACACTCTTGTTCATTTTTTATGTTTTTACCTCTGTATGTATAAGTGTGTTGTAGTTAAGTTTGTAGACAATATAATATGTGTTCCAAAACTTAATATAGTTTATCTTTGAAAAGATCAAGGGGTATGAGTTTGTGTTTATTGTTTGTGTGATTGGTTTTACATGTCTTATAGATGGGTGATTCACAAGGTAATGCCAAAAAAAAGGATTATAAAACTTGGACCATAGAAGAGAGTAATGTCTTGCTTCAGCTAATGGTTGAAAGTGCCAAACTTGGCCTTCGTGATATCAATGGAGTGATAAGTAAACAAATGGTAGAGACCAGACTCCTTCCTAAACTTAAGCAAAAGCTTGGTTATGAAATTAGTTTTAATCATTACCAAAGTAGAGTCAGATGGTTTAAAAAACAATACTCCAATTACTCTCAACTTATGCGACACAACTATGGATTCGGATGGGATGCGGCCACAAAGAAATTCACTGCTTCCGAAGAAGTATGGGCTGACTACCTGAAGGTGGGCATTTTTTTATTCATTTGTGTGTCTATTTTATAACATCATAATAACAAACTTTATATTTTTTTATATCAGTCACATAAAGAACATGCACACCTTCGGTCAGAAACTTGTCCGGACTATGAGGATCTGAGAATCGCAGTGGGGAATGGAACTGCAACTGGGATGGGTGCAATTGGTCTTGGTGAAAATACAGACGCTACAGTGTTAGGAGTAGATGATGAATCGGGTGGAATTGGTGGCATTGATGGATTATTTTTTGATCCAAATACTAACATGTTCACACCGAGTGAAAATGCATCATCCCACCAGGAGGACTCATCATATCTTCCACAAGATGGTGGTACAAATATAGAGGATCCACCTTCATCAAGCAATAGAGCTAAAGGAAAAAGGGGTAGAAATGATTTTGAGAACAATGGAAGAACAAAGGAACCTAATAGTCACGGTGAGGTTATTGAGAGCTTGTCAATGGGGTTTAATAAAATTGTTAAGAGTTTTGATAAAATTTGTTATTTAATGGAGAAGAGAGAAACAAGGGACAATGATCTTTTGGATGCTATGAAAGAGACCCCTGGATTAACAGACGAGGATTGCTTTAAAGCTCTTGATTTGCTGAATACGAAAGCGAAGCAAGATTTCTTTTTAAGGATGACTCCCGAACAACGCTATCACTGGATTGTCAATCGTTAAACAACTTCATTAGATTTGTCCTCTAGAGATATCTAATAATAAATAGGCCATGGTTGCGTATTTACTTTATCTTTTGTTGGAGTGATTTAATTTATTTGGATTGCAAAGGGATTATTTGAACTATTTTATGTATTATCCGTTAGAATGCTTTTATTATAAAATATATCATAGTTCACTTTTTAAAGTTTATGCCTTTATTCTTCTTTTAGCAATGTGTGAAACAGATATGTATGGAGCAGATGAAGATGAGGTTGAGTTTTATGGGACTCTTAAGATATTGCTAATGGCAATAGAAGCAATAACTTACTTGATATACAATCTCGCTTCAAGAATTAACGATGAACCTGTTCCACGCCCATTGACTCGCCGACCTGTGATGGCTAATGGGATTAAATATATGGATGAAATAATGGCCGAAGATCCTAAAACATTTAGAAATGTATACAGAATGTATCCTAACATTTTTCAAAAATTATGTTGTATCCTAAGAAACAAAACGCCTTTACGAGATACAAGATATATTTGTGTTGAAGAAATGGTAGCAACATTTTTACTTATTATCGGCCAAAATAACCGCTATTGTCAACCAAGAATGATATTTAAGCGGTCACACTTCAGCATTAGCAGAAGCTTCAACAAAGTATTGAAAGCGTTGAATACAATAGCTCCCGAATTTATGGCCAAACCGGAATCTATACCACATGTCATCAGAGAGAGTACAAGGTTTTATCCTCATTTCAAGGTCAGTAATGCAAAACTTTATTGATGATTAAGGATGATTAATTAATTTTTTTTGGTATTTTTTCTTTTCCTAATGCACTTCACCAATTTTAAATGATTAATGATGATCGATTAATTATTTTTTTTGGTATTTCTTCTTTTCCTAATGCTAGGATTGCATCGGAGCAATAGATGGCACTCATATTCCAGCAATAGTACCTGGACGAGAAACGAACAGCTATCGAAATCGTCATGGGACTATATCTCAAAATGTACTAGCTGCTTGCAACTTTGATTTGCAATTCATATATGTGCTTAGCGGTTGGGAGGGTTCTGCCCATGATTCAAAAGTGTTAAATGATGCAATTTCAAGACCAAATGGTCTTAAAGTGCTACCAGGTACACTTTAACATGTTTATCCAAATCTCTGTTACCAATTACTTATTGCATTGTATGATAGACTAATTGGGTAATGATTCAATGTCTAGGAAAATATTATTTGGGGGATTGTGGATTTGCAAATCGGTGTCAATTTTTAGCTCCATTCCGAGGTACTCGGTATCATCTAAAGGATTTTGGTGGTGAAGGAAATCACCCTGTTAATGCGGTTGAACTATTCAATCTTCGTCATGCTTCTTTAAGGAATGTGATTGAACGGATATTTGGAATATTCAAGTCACGCTTCACAATCTTCAAAACAGCACCTCCTTTCTCTTATAAAACACAAGCAGAATTAGTTTTGGCATGTGCAGGAGTACATAATTTTCTTCGACGTGAATGTCGATCTGATGAATTTCCTCCGGATCCAGAAGAAGACCCACCTAGCGATGATGAGGACAATCTTGAATGGGATAATTTTCAGACACAAGATCAACAGAGGGAAAAGGCCAATGAATGGAGGATGAATCTTGCTACTCAAATGTGGGCAGCTGCAGAAAATGAATAATTTTGATCCATAGTTCAGTAGCACAAGACGTTTGTTCCCATTTCGTGCGTTGATGACTTTATTTTTTTTTTGTTATATTTTTTTAATGCTTATGCTTCACCTCATTCGGAATAGAGAACATTAGCTATTATATTTGTCATATTTTCTATGTAGCAATTCTTATTTATTAAAGTTTGGTCTAGTTGGATCTGGTCTTAAATAAGTCCAAGTAAAAGTTTATGGATTTATTGAAATCCATAGAAGTCATTCATTTAAAAGTCCACGGATTTAAAAGTCTACAGATTTAAAAGTCTACGGATTTAAAAGTCAGCGGATTAAAAGTCTATGGATTTAGAAGTCCATAGACTTTTTTAGAAGTCCATAGACTTTTTTAGAAGTCCATGGATTAACACGCCATTCCGTCTTTCTGCATCCCATCGCTAGAGAGATAATTCCCGAGGGTGTGTATCAACTAGAAGACGCAAACCCTAGCCTCCATCTCCCGGATCTCTAAAGATCATCTCCAATGGAGTCAGGTACGCTTCCGCTCAGTTAATTCTCTAGATAATTCCAATATGAAGATTAAAGTATTATCGGATTTATTCCAACAATTGGTATCAGAGCCTCCTTCATATTGAATTATTTGGAGTAAGTATAATCTGCCGATTAAATGGAACATGGGTCATGCGATTTTGCGTTTATGCAATTCGTTCCTAATACATTCATAAAATCGGTAGTCTATGTTAAACGAGACGATTGAGTTTTAATCGGATGCCGCGTTTTAATTTTCAGTCGTACTGATCATTTACGATTGGAATTTCTGTATGTACATGTGAAATATTGTCGAATTGTAATCGGTTGGTGTCAATTCCGTTTTGATATTCATCCAAATTTCCAGTCATTAAAATCAATTTTGAGTTCCAGTTTTATTGTTTGATTCAGCCATTAATACGGTGTGTCAAGTGATTCGGACTAAGTTGGATTCATAGTGAATCATATATGAGCCATTGTTTATTAAGAAATTATCGTATCAACTATTTTCATTAGTTTGATTCCAATTTTGAGTCTGCCGTAGAATATGTGCATCATATAAATTATTGATATGTTTCCAATTTTTGGCTGATTCGATTTGGAAATTTGTATAGATGAATTTTGGTAATTCAGTACATATATATGTGATTACCGGTTTTGGTAATTAAATATTTATATGTAATTATGGCCAACTTCCGTTCTACCAGAAATACATAATTTGGATATTAACGAAATAAATTATTTTATTTTTGGTCATAATGTTTTGCGGCTTAAAATATGCATTATGTGTTATGAAAGTATAAATCATATTATGCGATCGCACAGCGTTTGAGTATGGATTTTACAAATTACTGCTATACATGACACATTTGCATGTGATTCCGAGAAATTCGCCCAATTTTATTTTTCAGTTTTTATTATTATTTAATATTAGCATGTCTAATATTTGGGTTGGTTAATTGACACAACATGCTGCCAAAGTAGCCTCTCTTGTTGAAATTAATTAACTCATATATTGAGATGACTGTGTACTTCTTATTTCATGCGGATAATAATCGGCCCAAAGGAAGGTTATTATTTGGCCGAAATTTGAGTACATTTGTGATAATAAAATTTGTGATAATTATGAGGTTTTCATGTGAATATTAAGTCGGTCCAAAGAAAGGCTTAGTATTTGACATGATTTTATTATCAAAATTTTATTATTACACCAAGAGTACCACTTGCAAGTCTAATTTATGTCCAAAGACAAGAATAGATGTTGCGCTAGGTATCTTGTGATGGGGATTGCTAATATTTAAATTTAAAACTAATTATCAAGATTATTTCAGTTTTTTAGAGCATATAACTTATATTATTTTTGTTCTCTTCCAGTCAACCGTTCTGCTGCTACAATATCTGCTAATATTAATAGCATCCCTGTGCTTAATGGCACGAATTTTAAGGAATGGAAAGAGAACGTTATGATTGTTCTCGGTTGCATGGATCTAGACCTTGCACTCCGGACTGAGAAACCCGCCGCTCTTAAGGACTCATCTACCCTTGATGAAAAGAGGGAGATGGAGAGGTGGGAACGCTCAAACCGCATGAGTCTGATGATCATGAAACGTGCAATTCCAGAATCATTCAGGGGCACTATGTCTGATGAGGATGATGCCAAATCGTTCCTTGCCGAACTTGAAAAGCGTTTTGCTAAAAACGAAAAGGCGGAAACTAGTACTCTTTTGAGCACTCTTGTTTCCATGAAGTACAAAGGCAAAGGGAACATAAGGGAGTACATTTTGGAAATGTCTCATATTGCTTCAAAATTAAGTGCACTTAAGCTCATTTTACCTGAGGAGTTGCTTGTGTATTTAGTTTTGATCTCTCTTCCTTCTCAATTTAATCAATTTAAAGTGAGTTACAACTGCATTAAGGAGAAATGGTCTCTAAATGAGCTCATTTCTCATTGTGTTCAAGAGGAAGAGAGAATAAAGCAAGATAAGACTGAAAGTGCTCATTTGACATCTACCTCTAAGGGCAGCAAGAAAAGGAAATTTAAGGAAGTTGTAAGTTCAGGGCCTCAAAGAAAGCATCATAAGGAAACTAAGGAAGAAACTAAGGAATCTGGATGCTTCTTTTGCAAAGGGACTAATCACAAGAAAAAGAACTGCACTAAGTACCACGCCTGGCGTGCGAAAAAGGGTATGTCTCTTGCTCTTGTTTGTTCTGAGGTTAATTTAATTTCGGTACCCAAGGACACTTGGTGGATAGATTCCGGTGCTACTACTCACATAAGTGTATCCATGCAGGGTTGCCTGAGCTGCCGAAAACCAATTGATGGTGAAAGATACATCTATGTCGGTGATGGCAAGCGGGTTGAAGTTGAGGCTATCGGTGTTTTTAGATTATTATTAAAGACTGGTTTTTATTTGGATTTGAAAGAGACATTTATTGTACCGTCATTTAGGCGGAATTTAATTTCTATTTCTGCATTGGACAAATTTGGTTATTCTTGTTCATTTGGAAATAGTCAGTTCAGTCTATTTCAAGATTCAAAGCTTATTGGTACCGGTCTTTTATCAATTTATGATAATCTATATTCACTTGATATAATTGCCTCATATAATGAAACCTTGCATGTAAGTACTCGTGGTACTAAAAGAAAATTAACCAATGAGAATTCATTATCACTTTGGCACAAGCGTTTAGGACATATTTCTAAAGAAAGAATTCAGAGACTTGTGTCCGATGGAATTCTTGATTCTCTTGACTCCTCAAATTCGGATATTTGTGTTGAGTGTGTTAAGGGAAAACAAACGAACAAAAGGAGATTAGGTGCCGAGAGAGCTTCAGATCTATTAGAATTGATATATACAGATATTTGTGGACCATTCCCTACACCATGTAGAAATGGTCAAACATATTTTATCACATTCATAGATGATTACTCTCGTTATGGTTACCTTTATCTCATTCATGAAAAGTCCCAATCAATAGACGTGTTCAAATCTTATAAGGCCGAAGTTGAAAATCAATTAGGCAAAAGAATTAAAACCGTTCGATCTGACCGTGGTGGTGAATACTATGGTAGATATGATGGTTCCGGTGAACAACGTCCAGGTCCATTTGCTAAATTCCTAGAGGAGTGTGGTATTGTTCCTCAGTACACTATGCCTGGAACTCCTAGCATGAATGGTGTTGCTGAGAGACGAAACCGTACATTAAAGGACATGGTTAGGAGTATGATTTGTCATACTACTTTACCGGATTCACTCTGGGGAGAGGCACTGAAAACTGCAGCTTACATACTCAACAGAGTTCCCACTAAATTAAAGCTACAACTAAGACCCCTTATGAAATTTGGACTGGAAGGAAACCCAGTATAAATCATTTCCATGTTTGGGGTTGTCCAGCTGAGGCAAGGCCTTATAGGCCAAATGAAAAGAAACTGGACTCTAGAACAGTTAGTAGCTATTTTCACTAGTACAAAAAAGGGCTTTTACATCACCTTATCTACATGTGTTATATCAAACCCCATGTAAAATAGTGACACAGGGTCATTTTTATAATTTTCATAAACTTTTTAACATCAATTGTTGGTATAACTAATGTTAAATTGTGAAACGGGGTATATTTTTAATTTTTAAAAATACTTTTAACATTGGGTGTACCTAAAACCGATCTTGAAAAAAAACGGGGTAAAATTTTGGATTAGTGAAAGTTCAGTCAACATCGGTTTTACTTTACCCGATGTTGAAAAAACTTAAAAAAAGCGCCCTTTATTCCTGATCCGGTATAACCCATGTGGATGAATTTTATTTTAAGTTATAAAATTATGTGTATCTGCTGCTTCCCCGTTTCAAACCTAGCGAACAAACACAGCAGCGACCACAGACGACCCGGCGGCACTCTTGCCCTGAATTTGGATCAGCGACCTCAGACAGACCAGGCGGCATACTCTTGGCCAACCTGTTGGACCAGCGACCAGAGATGGGGCTGGCGGAATACTATTGGCCTGAAGTTGGACCATCGACCACCGCGACTGAAGCCGACTGTGGCGTACAGTTATCGCAGCTCCGGCGTCGATAGCAGGTTCCGAGCGAGCATAGAACGGCGTTCGACCGAGCACATGACAACATTCAAGCAAGGAATAGGACGACGTTGAGTACAGGTCCGGATTCCTATGATTTATTTAGCCATTTTTTGTTTTAGTTTTGCTTTTATTCAAATTTCTTTCTGTTTTCCTTCCACCTAAATTGAAGTTTTGCTTTCAATATTACTGCTTTCAGTATAATTTAAGTGTTGCTTGGCCTGGGTTGAATCTAGGTGCGGGTGTACGTTAAATTGAATGGGGGCCAATAAAACTGAGATTTTTTTACTTATAAAATTCATTTTAGAAATGAATTTGTTGTCTGCCCCCATTAGGAAAAAGCCCTTTTAGTGATTGAAATGTTGTTAAAATTTTAACTAGATAAGGATTATGAGAGCTATAGTACTCTAACACTCAAACACTGGGAGTTTAACAGTGGAAATTCTCCAACTATGTATATATACATCTTTGAATCTTTTGATGAAGTATGCTCCAACTTTTGCAAGGATTAGATTGAAATGGTATATAGGAATGAGGTTTGAGTACTCAACTTGGGACTGAAGGGTTGGTGTTGAGTTAGAACTTATTTATCCATTTCGAATAGAAAAAAGTATCAAGTTT